GCCCAAATCAATTGAGAGCACAGCTTCCAGGCGCATCTTTTGGTCACGACGGTCTTCAGGAGAAGCGGCGTTCAGAGCCTGCGCAAACCCGAAGCATTGCGGGGAGTGTGTGCCGCACAGTGGTAGGGCCGTGCAGCATGTCATTGTCGGTCCTCCTGCACCGGCCGAGTCAATGCAGGCAGGCTGGGAGGCTCCACCTTTGAAAGCATTCACATGTGCACATCCTGCCCAAACTTGACACACACAAAAAAAGCTGGCAACTGATTTGTTGCTACCTCAACTCCAAGTGGCAAGCATTTGTTCAGACATGCCTGCTGGTGGTTTTATTTCCCGGTGTTCTCTGGCAATGCCCCCACAGCACCCCATTTCCCAGGAAGGCCACGCCAGCCGTGGCCGCCAGCGCTGCGGCACTTGCCGCTGACTGTGCCTGGCTCCGTGTCCGGCGCCGGACGCGCTGAAATCCCAACATCCTCCAACATCCTCCAACATCCTCCAACCCTCGGCCTGGCAACCCATCACTTTGATGGTGTAGATGGGCAGGGCTTTCAACTGCTGCCTTACGAGAAGGAATGGAACAGAAACACATGGACGCAGAACACGACCTGCTGCTCTGATAGAGAAACGTTTAACTCTGAAAGCAACACGCACAGTGAATCAGCCGCTGGCACAGCGCTTGCTGGACCCCGGATCTCTGCGATCACCGATCCTAGGCTTGATCAGGGTTCAGGACTTGGCACCGAACAGTCGTTTAAACTCGTAGAGCCCTTTCGCTGTTCCAGTTCCCCACAAGGGTCCGTCCGTGTTCCTCTCACGGCGTATAGAGGCCTCTCACCATGGCCAAATGTCAGTGCCGGGCCTGCACGCAAGTTGATCTTGATGCTGGATATGAGGTCCTGTGGGGCCATAGGTGAAGCATTCACATATGGCATGCTCAATCATGTGCTGAAGAGGGCCTTCGCACAGCCGATGCCAAGCAAGCCAGCAATCAGCTCGCTCTTGAAAGAGTCCACATTCACCTGACAGGCACGGAGCATCCAAACAGCGGGGCGATACTGTCTAGCCTTTGCAAAATCCAAATGGAAGAAGTGCAACTCGAAACCATCCTGCGGAAAGAGCACAATTGCGACACCAAGGTAACCATACCGCGAGGCTCTGCACACAAAACTGCTTGCTTGATGGCTCAAGCCCACGGCAGTCTCAGGCTCTTGTGGACCGGCTGACAGCCTGCACACCGCGCGACAACAAAATAGGCTGCCATTTCAGGCAATGCCTCAGAGGACGCGCCACTTGCGGAAGCGCTGCTTGCGGGACCTGCCATGAAGAAAATGCAAAAATACAATTGCATGATTTGCCTGATTTGCTTGTCACAATGTGCTCTCCGTGAAGTTAGTGTGGCCCATGCTGTAATGCGAGGGTCGCATCATGCGCAGGCATGTCAGGCATGTCAGGCATGTCAGGCATGTCATGTGGCCCTTTCTGCCGCTCCGCAAAGGCTCTGAGCTGATCTCTACAGCAGCGTCACGCAAGCGGTGACATCCTCCTCGCCCAAGGCAACCAAACTGTGCCTTTGCTTCAGCCCTCGGCGGGGAGCACGCCGTCTCCATCCTCTTGTCCTTCTCGATCGCAAGCTGCAGATGCCCTCTCTCAAGCACAAACTTCACATTCATGAAGCTGCACGAGCAAACGTTTCGCACATTTCTGGATCAGGTGGAGCCGTAGACGCGGACATATGCCAACTCCAAAGTCTGGCCCTCCTCAAAAGCCTCGTTGTCGATGCCCTGGCGCTCGACGCAGGGTGCGCCGATATGAGATACACATGAGCCCGCCTGCTGGCCGCCCCAGTCCCCGCCGACCGCGAGGTTCCTGCATGCAAGAGCTACAGCAAGCTTGGCCAGGTTTCGAATGAATTTGCCAAAAATACATCCAGCTGAATGCCAGCCCAGATACATTATCAAGTAGAATGGCTTGTTGAATGGCCAGGCTTGCTCGCTTGCCCACAGTTCCTGCAGGGCATGCTTCAAGATCTGTTACAGAGTTCCTGGCAGTCTCAAACGCATCTGTAACATTCTGCAATGCAGAAACATGCATAACCCTGCAGGGCCGCACCTTGCTCACCGTTAGGTAGCGCCGGCCGTCAAAGAAAAAGTTCAAGCGATCATGCGACCATGCCACACCGTAAGTGTGCCACTCGTGCGGTAACACGTGCAGGATTTCACCTACTTGAGTGCCCTTCTTGTGGTTGCACATCTCGGTGTGTATGGTGCCATGCACTTTCCCAGCATCCATCCCGACATGCTCCATAATGTCAATCTCGCCGCACGCGGGCCAGTCACCATACTTGTTGTCAGTGGGCAGCATCCAAACAGCCGCCCATGTGCCACGACCTGGTGGCACCCTGGCCCGCACTTCGATTCGCCCATAGAGGAAGTCCCCCTTGCCCTTGGTCACCAATCGCGCAGAGGTGAAGTCCCGCTCCCCACAGCGTTTCCGGAGCGCCCGGATGTGCAAAGCCCCATCCGAAACCCACACATTCTCCGGGGCGTCCTGAATTGCTTGGACTGGCCGAAAACCTTTCTGGAAAGCTTCTCCAATGCCTGTCGCCTGTCACTAGAACGCAATGCTTAGTCCAAAAGACAACGGAACAGGTGCACCGATTCAGGTGAGACTCAGTATAGCATTGAAGCTCCCCGTTGCCCCAGCCATGGCCACCAGTCTCGCAAGACCATTTGGATGGATCTGGAGCACCTGCCCAGGCCCACCAACCGCCCATTCTGCATGCCTCCTTTGCCTACCCGAAGCCTGTGTAGTTGAACTCGTCTGACCACACCAGCGCCCCCGCATCGGCGTCAGGGAATGGTTCTGACACCTTGACCTGGGATCGGGGGCATTTTGGCCCGGCTCGGTGACCAAGCTGCTTGTCTATGGTCGCAGTGCAGCGAGCCCAACGTGCGAACATCCATCGAATCACGTCGAAACGCTGAAACTCAGGCATTCCCAGATTAGAACACGCATATCGAAATTTCCTTTAGAGCGCCCAAGCCGCAGCCGTGATGCCAGCTTCCTCCCCAAAGTTTGTGCAAAACTCGCGCATGACTCGCTGCCTGGCCCCGGGGAGCGCAAAGCATCAGAACTTGGCTTCATCATTACGCAGAAGGAGGCCCCAAGACTCAACCAGCCGACCCAGGAGCCAAGGCCAAGCGAGCATGCCCAGGACCTGCAAAGCAAGTCGCTGATCCGGGGGGGTCTCAAATTTGGGTCTAATTAGTTATTGCCTCTCGGAGCTCTCCTAGACCTTCCGAAGCGCCGTGACTCCATCTCGCCTAACCAAAGGTTCTGGGAACAAAAGATAACCTGACCACCGGGGAGACGCAGAGATAGTCACCTAACTCTGTTAATTTCAACAAGGGACCCTTCAGTACGAAGGAGACCCTTCGATGCACACACCACTTTTTGGGGTGGTTCCATGTGGTTCCCAATCAATATTCATGGCCTCGGGCACGCTCAGACACGTCGCCTGGCTTCCTCTGAGCTGATCTTCAAGTTCGCCACGCACCAGGCAGCCCGCTCCCCAGCAGGGATCCCGTCGCAAACGATGTGCGGATCCCACCGGCTCCTGCGGGTTGCAATCTGGCTTGGCCTATGGACCCATATGCGCCGCGTATATTCAAATATTCTGAGTATGCCGCAAACTTCTCCATGCGTTTGTCTGCGCCCAGACTCTCCAGCTGCTAATGCTTCTCAGGCTCGCACCGGGTGCTGAAAAGGGATGCAAAGTCTTGCATGACCTCGCTCTCTGCGAAATAATTTGGCTCAAGCGGCCACAAGTCCTTTGCTTCAGTCCGCCCTGAGGTCGTGGCCCACAACTTGCTTGCTTTTTCTGAGATTTTGTCTGATTGACGCTGCTCTGCCAGGAATGAAGCTAGCGTTCCATCGCCTGTGTCAGTGTGACATCCGTTGTTTCACGGCAAAGGGATGAATAAAGCATTCAGCATTCTCAGGCCAGCTCAATCCACATGAGGATTCCAGCTGCTGATGGCGTCATCAGCCGCTTGCTCGAAAACGCTGGAAAACTCCCGCATGATCTGCAGCGTTACGCTCCGAAATCGATCGGACAAGAGGCAAAGCGGCAAAGCAGTGCAAACGATTCAAAGACTCTCAGACCAGGGCTTGTTCCTGTGCCACGTCAACCGCCATGCCACAATTCTGTGTGCACCACCTGGCTCCTGAGGTCGACCCAACCCAACCCTGCCACATGACACAGCGCTCGTCATTGCCCACTTTCCCTGACCCGCAAAGAAATCTGCATGGTTTGGATTGGCGTCCTGGGGAAGATACGCTCCCAAACCGTCGAACCAATGCAAAGCTTGCGGCACAAGAACCGACAACAACATCCTGTCCAGTACTTCACCTGAGCTGGCATCCAGCCTTTATTTCTTGCGCTCGCGGCAACAACCGAAGCCGCCCCTAACAAATAAATAATCCATTTCATCAGCAGGTGCGCATCCCAGGCAGCTTGAAAGCCCTGAGCACCCAACCGAAACATTACGAGTCAGCTGGCCCTTTGAAATTCAAAGCAAGAAGCCTCCGTGCTTCAAATATCTGAGAAAACTCACCCGCCGCTGACGTCTTTCTATGTCTTACTGTGCTTGCGGCGCAGCATCATTGAAGTATTGCTTTCGGCGGACGGAAATCTGACAAAATGGCGGTAGCGGTTAGTTGCAGCACACACACACACATGGCTGGAGACGCGCGAGCATTTGCTTGTGCCTGCTGCTGCTCTTGTCAACCCGGCTGTAAAACCCTGGGGACGAAAGATCAAGCGCACGTATCCTGCCAAGACAACATGGGCTCCACAGTTGCTCACATTGCCAAAAGGATAGGGCAGGCCTGGAGCAATTGCAGAATGCAGCCCAGGCGCGATCTTCGGCACAGGGACCCGCGCAAAGCAAATCCGGATTCCACATGGGATGTCCAAACCTTTGGCAGCGACTGCAGGAGAA